GAAAGGGATCAGCATTGACAGCCTCCCCTGCTCAGCTCCATGTAAGACCTGGCCTCCAATAAATGGTGAGTGCCCAAGAAGGTCCATGAGAGCACAAGGCAGGTGTCATTACAGATGATGGACCCTGGGTTGACCTGGTCAGTGGTTGAAGGCTTGGCATTGGGGTAGGAGTGGACTGGGTGTGCTGAGCAGGGACACCACGAATGCAAAGGCTTCTGGGCTGCCCTGCCCCCATCTCACACTGGCTGGGGCTCCCAGGGTTGCAGGGCTGTGGCCAGGGGCTGAGGCCTTCCGGCTGGCCGCTCATTAAAAGAGGATTAGGCTGGAAGCCAGGGGGCCAGTCCAGCCCTGGACTTTCCTCTGGGGCCCCTTACAGCTTTGGGGAAGTGAAAGCGGCTGGGGGCCCCCTCCCTAGAGCCCACAGGGGGTGTCCAGTACAGACTGCCTGGTCCCTGACTCTCCTGTCATTGCCACGTCTTCCAACCTCAGAAGGTCATGAGGTCTGTCTTCTTGATGGAATATACCAACAAAGACCCAGGCTGGCACACCCCACCTCTTTACCCCCAATCCCCTTTCTCTAAAGCTCAAGGATTAGGGCTGTACTAACCCACATGAAGTCAGAGGTCAGAGGTAGACTGCAGAGACCTTTCTGTCACTCTCTGGACCCCACTCTTCCGGGGAGGTGAATCTGTCAGTCAGGCCCTCCTGGCTTTGTGGAGCTGTAACCAAGGGGGTGGAGTGCTCACCTCTGCTCCAAGACCCTCTTTTTGCTGCAGACCCTGCCTCTCTGGCAGCAGACCTGGTATCCTAGAAATGTGCAACAGGGGTCAGACCCCTCATACGCTTGGGGTCTCTGGTGAGAGCTGTGTACACATTTCCTCAGTGCCTGTCCTTGTCTACTGCCCCCTCTTATTTAAGTGAGACATCAGCTGCTGCTTCCTAAAGATGAGGAGACCCCTGGGATGAAGCCCCCCCCCCAGGCACAAAGAATGTTCCTTGCCTCGGAACCTTGGCCAGGCCATTCTGGGCCAGAATACTGGCTGTATGATGGCTGAGGGAGAGGCCTGGAGGCAGCAAATGGCTGCGGAAATGAGGTGTCTGATGCCAGAAAAGGCTCTTCCTTCCTCTATGAGGGGAAAATCCTTCCCGGATGTTGCCCCACCCAATTCATGCCTAGCCTTGGTGAGAGGATGGGGTGGGGGCCTCCCCAGGAGGCATCACACAGGCATACCACCCTCCCTCCTGCCAAGGTCAAAGCTGGCATGGCCTTGAATCTTGACCTCCAACGAACCCTTGATTGGGCCTCAGCCCTCCCTCAACTTTGCTATGACCATGGGGGAGGGGTGACACTCCTGCTATCAGGGATGAGCTGGGGACAAGTGGTGCTGAGGTGGGCCTGACCTGAGGATATGATCAGGCTAGGTTCACATCAGCCCCTACCCACACTGATGCCACCTGGGGCCCCTGGAACCTTTTTGTTCTGGCCTCTACTGATAAACTGTGGGTATCAGAGAAAGGTACCTAAGGCTACTTGACCACCTCTGTTCCGATCCAAGGTCCTTGGATGAATATGGCCCCTCAGTTCCTTTGTCCTGTGGTGCATGGGTTAGTGGGGGTACTAGACACCAATTCTACCTTTCAATATACGACCTGGGATAATCGCCATTTTTCCCTGGAGCCTCGGTTTTCCTCTCTGCAGCTAGGAATACAGGACTTTCCTGGGGCTCCTTGTTTTATTTTCTCCTGCTATCTGCCATGAATGTTCCTGATGTGGGTTAATAAGGCCAGAGCCCTAGCCCTAATTCTACCTGGGACACTGAGAAACCCCTACATCTCTCTGCCTTAGTTTTCCCTTCTGTAGTCCAGTTTGGATGAATGATTTGGGATTTAGCTCTGCTTCTGTGGATGAAGTGGGTGGGGACCTGCTGGATTTGGTTGGGACTGAGTCAACAGGAAGCTCCTTCCTTCTCCATGGCCCTCTCTGCTCTCCACCCCAGCACTAGGAAATGGGGCAGCAGGGATGGGAATGGGGGAGGATATCCTCTAAGAGATAGTGACATCTAGAAGGAAGCCTGCTTCCTCAGGCAGAGAATTTGGGACCCTGTCCCAGCTCTCCTATCCCCACAAGACAGATGCCCATGGAGTGGGGAAAGAGCAGACGAATGCCTGGCTATCATTTTCTCTGAGATCAAAAAGGGACTCCCACTCAGGATCAATTTGAATGTCAGTACTAGGAGGGTCCAGGATATGTCCTAGGCAGGGAAATGAGACCCACAGAGCCAGAGTGCCCCAACTGGGATCACAAAGCCCTCTCTAGAAACTGAGCCATAGCCAAGGACTCCTGATCTTTGGTTCCATCGCTTCCTTACCCTGCCACCATTTCCACAGTGGCTAAAGTATCACGTCCTGTGACACCAGAGGGTCCTGTAATTCCAGAGCCATTGACGCCATATCCCGCAGCCACTGGGAGGGGTCCAAGGGTCCTGAGTCATGTGTCCTATTGATGGAGGGCGAGTCACCTTCCGGTCCTGGCTCTGCTGGCAGGCCGTCTCCACCACCAGGACTGGCTTCCCAGGGCCTCCCCCTCCTTCAGCCATAGACCTACGTAGGAATCTCATCCCCGCTGTACTCTGGCCTGTCACTTCCCTTCTCTGTTCCCTGATGTCCTCATTTATAAACTGGATAAGTGAGCACAAGGCTTTGCATGTGGTAGTGCTTGATGATTGAGTGAGTGAAAGGCGCCCACTACTCTACCTCCCCCCAGGGACAGAAAGGAGAGAGGATACAGGAACAGGATGTTGGGTGAAGACTAGTCTCCTTCCCCCTTCTGTGCACTCAGGTTCCTCACTTGCCAAGTAATCTTTCCCCTGCAGAGGAAGCTGGGGAGTACTGGGACTTAGGGAGTAGGTTGGGGTCTTTTTGGACTTGGGGCATGGGCCATGGTAGTCATGGCAAGCAGAGGGGAGGGTCTGGATTATGGAGGTCAAGGATGAGCAGGGATGGAGGGTAGAGATTATGACTGCTCCGGTCTCTGGGAGCTAGATGTCTGAAGCTTCCCCTATCCCAGGTGCTATGTTTGAACGTGGCCACTTGAGCTCTACCCCTCACCCCTCCATTGTCCCTAAAGCACCCCCTAGCCCAGCAGGATGAGTGAGGGCATAACCAAGGCCATGCCCCCAGCCAGGGTATAAATAACCCCTGGCGGGCTGTCCCTGCCTGTAGGGGCTCTGCTGGCAGTCCCACTTCCTCTCTGGCCACTTCCCAGTCCTGGGGGGTAAGGGAGTGTTTACTTTCCTGTTGTCACTATGATTGGGGTGGCCAGGCGGGGGACTCCGAGTGGCCCAACAACAGGTGCAGGACAGGTGCCCAGGCTGCCCTGCCTAGGACTTCTGAGGTGCCGCTGGACTGGCGGGTGAGGCCATAGCCAGGCAGGAATCGGCTCTTTGATCCCTTGGCATCCTGGCGTCCCTGCGTCCCAGCAGCCGGCCAAGGTCATCACCTGTATTCTCTGTTGCTGTGTAGTCAAGTCTGGGAAGGGCAAGGCCTTACTTTGACCCTCCAGCCTCTCAGAGTGAGGTCTTAGTACCAGACATGAACTCCAGATCAGCTGTTGGAGCTCCTGGCCCCCAGCCCGCCTCATCTACTCTACATGCCCAGCCCAGCACATCTTAGAGCTCATGTCTGAAGCTACTCTCAGGCAAAGTCCCCAGCCCATCCTAGGGTCCCTGGCACACAAATGGAGTCAGGATCAGCCAGGCCAGTCAAGGACAGCCACTTACTAGTGCCAACTTCAGTCTGTGCCCAGGGCTTCAGATCCCAGCTGTTCTCCCTCCAGGTGCCTTAAAGCCTGGCCCAGGCCTCCCTCTTGATTGCCCCACCTGTGAAGTGGGTTACCAGCTGAGTGCCTCAGCTGTTGCAGGATGTGTGTGTGTGTACACACACACACACACACGCACGCGCACACATACCTGTACCGTGTGTATACATGTGCTCTTCTATGTGCTGCCATGTTAGCCTCTTGTGCATACAAGTATTCATCACCCTCATCACATGTTTTCTCGCTTGCTGAACTAAAGATAGGTGAGGATGGGCAGAGAAGGAGCTTACCAAGGGGACATGTTAGCTTTCCCAGAGGCAGCTTCTCATAGTCCTGTGTCTGTCATTGGCTGAGCTCCCTCCTGTCCTTCCTCCCCAGGAAGGAGGACTTTTTCTCAGTGTCTTGGGGGTAAGGGGGATAAGGTTGCTAGACTTATGCCAAATAAAAAACAGAGACCCAACCAGCCCCTTGTCCCAGTCCGGGGGGCTCTTAGGCACTAAGGAGAGAGCCTCTTTCCCCCCTCTTTCTGACTTCAAAGTGGCCTGAGTATTCCATCATTAGCATTGGAGTCATCATTCCATTGGAGTCTGGAAAAAGCCAGAGGTCTGTTGGACAGCATGGCAGGACTTTTCAGAATCCTGCTAGCCTGCTTCAAACCAGGTGGGGACCTGGCTGTGCACCAACTGTGTCCTCTGCCTGGTGAACAGCCAGGGTGAGGATATGGCATCTAGGCTCCATGCCAGCGTCTGCATGCTGGATGTGTCTTATGTGTTCCTGATCCCCATTCCTACCTGCTCATTAACCCTTTTAGGCTCATGTAGGAAGCTGGCCTCACCCTGAGCGTGGGAGCATTAACCCCCACTGAGTAAAGACACTTTGATGCCATCACTCACCCTGTCCTGAAACCCACTGCCCTTTCATTGGTGCTGGCTAGGGCTGACTATGAATCAGCTTTGGGTGTGACTCCTTCCTTGCCTGCCTACCTGTCCCACTTTCTCTTCCCAGCCTGTCAGGGACTGGAGAAGAAGTTACAGAGGCTCTGGGAGATCAAATTTAAGAGACTTAAGACAAAGATGTGGAGGGGTCCCTGAGGGACACCTTGGCCTCAGTGCTTGTTCTCAGAGGGAATGTGGTTGGATGGTCACCTGAAAGTCCTAACTGGTGCCCTGTCCTTTACTCACAGAGCTAAAGGCCACAGGCACTGCCCACTTCTTCAACTTCCTGCTCAACACCACTGACTACCGAATTCTGCTCAAGGATGAGGACCATGACCGCATGTATGTGGGCAGCAAGGACTATGTGCTGTCCCTGGACCTACATGACATCAATCGCGAACCCCTCATTGTAAGGGCCATCTTAGAAGTAGGGCATGGGGGACATAAGGGCGTGGGATCTCAGGGCACAGGGCCCTGTCCAGCAGGCTGCACCTTCTGACCCCCATCTCTTGCAGATCCACTGGGCGGCCTCCCCTCAGCGCATTGAAGAGTGCGTGCTCTCAGGCAAGAATGGCAATGTGAGTGTTGTGGGGTTCACAGGTAGGAAGCAGGGTGAATGAACGAACCCAGAGAGGAGATGGGACCAGGCAGGTATCTGTGCATCTGTTCAGCTTTCTCTCTGGTCTCAGGGCGAGTGTGGGAACTTCGTCAGGCTCATCCAGCCCTGGAACAGAACACACCTGTATGTGTGCGGGACAGGAGCTTACAACCCTATGTGCACCTATGTGAACCGTGGCCGCCGCGCTCAGGTAAGCCCTGGCCCACCCTGGCCCTGTATTATCCCCACTGATGCCTGCATTTCAGGGTCCTGATGGGCATGAGCCCCAGCCCTACTACTTCTGAACCCTGTGACCGTGGGTGAGTGACCTTGTTCAACTCTCTGAGCCTCAGTTTCTCCACCTGAAATGGGGCTAACAACTGCCTTTCTCACAGGTCGGTGTGAGGCGGAGGCAGAGAGCTAATGATCCCAAGCTCTTAGCACTATGCCTGGCACATAGTAAGCACTTGCCCCATACATTGACAACAGTTCTCTTGGCTACGTCTGTGGACTGTTCCCCTGCAGCCAAGCCAGAGGGGCTGGCAGGGACCTTGGCCTCAGGAGGCTAGATGCTTGGGTCAGCTTCTGCCATGTGGCCTAAGGGACAGCTGCCTTCCTCTCCTGGGTTCAGGGGTTGGGGGGAGCTGCCCCTTCTTCAGTTCTGCTCCACCCTGCCTGCTTCTGCCCTTTTCCATTTCCATGTGGGCATGTATGTGAGCTGGTGTGACCTCATAGGGCATATGTGAGAGAGAGCGACTGGACCTAAGGGGCACATGTGTGTGTAAGTGTGTGCCAAGCCTGTGTGTATGCGTGCACGTACACATGTATATCTGTACTCTGGGGGCCCTGTGCTCACGTGTGTACTTGGCCTGTGTGGTGTGAGAGGCTGGCAGCCCAAGCCCGCTCCCCCAGCCCCTGCCACCCCCAGCTCTAACCCCTGTTCCTCATCTTCTCAGGCCTCACCATGGACCCGAACGCAGGTGGTCAAAGGCCGCGGCAGCAGAGCCACAGACAGTGCCCTCCGCCCAACACCTGCAGCCCCACGCCAGGTGGGCCTCATCCCTCCAGGCCTTTGCTAGGCAGCACAGCCTCTGAGGTCAACTCATCCTGAGCCTGCCCTTCAGTCCAGCAAGGGCTCCCCTCTACCTCTGTTTTTCCCCACCCCGCTCCCACCCCTTCCCCTGCAGTGCTCTTAGACACTGAAGGCAGTCCAACCTGGATTCTTGTCAGCTTCAGTGTGGCCCCTGCAGGCAAGAAATCATGAAGCCACCAGGTGGGGAAGACAGGAGCCCTGGAGACAGCTGTGCCTCACCCTGAGAACATGTGTGGAGACTTGCATGAGCACATACCAACATATTCTCGAGCACCCTTTTTCAGTGCCCAGAGTGGGAACATGGCATGTGCGTGCCCTCTGATGCATGACTGATAGGTGTCCGTGCTCATGCCTCCTGTGGGTCATCTGGTACCCTGCACACGCACATATAGGGGCTGTCTTCTGGGGTGATGTCTGTTCACTAGTCAGGAGTCAGATCTGGGCTGGGCAAGGTGGGGCTGGGCAGGGGCGGGCAGGGGGACAGGGGCTGCCGGTGAATGATAGAGTGTGTGCACGTGTAGTGGGGAATGCTGAAAAGTCGGGTCATTCCATTCCATGAGTGTGTGTCCAGGGTGTAAGCCATGGGTTCTGTGTGCTGGTGCTGACACGTGTGGAGCTGTGTGTGCAGCCCCTGTGTGTGCAGGAAATTGTGTGCAGAGTGTAACTGGAAGTGGGCCTGTGTGCACCTTCCCATCACCATCCTGCCACCTGCTGCCACCTCCTCCTGCCTCTGTCTCTGTCCTCTCCCCTTTCCCTCCCTTCTCCCTACCTTTCCTGCCAGGCCCAGGAGCTCATCCTGGTTCTAGTACCTTTACCAACCCTCCTATCATCTTCCAGGCTAGGCTGGGAGGCACTAGGGCTTTGTGAATTCCGTGTGGTCTGGGCTGGATCCCCCAATTCCTGGCTCCCAGGGGGAGATGTGGAGCCTGGGGGCTCTGCTGAGAGGCAGGAAAGCCTTGGCCTGTTGTTTACCCTGAGGACTACAGGTAGGGCGTAAAGCCTGGGGACACAGCAATCTTAAAGCTCTCTGGCCTGGTCTAATCTGATGGCAAAGTACAGGACCCAGGCCCTTAACCTGTGCCCCCTGCCCTGGCCAGGTCTGCGGTCTCTCCTTGGCCCAGGAAAAGAAGCCACAACTCAAAAAGTTGGTCCTCTGTGGCCCAAAAGGGCCTTGGCCAGCATCTCCTGAGCCTGTTGGCATGGAGGATCTTTATCCCCTATAAGCCACTTCATGCCCATCTCATAGCCCCCAAGGTCAAACCTTCTGAGACTTGATTCCCAGGTCTTGCCTGAAACCTGAGACTAGGAAGCAGATCCCTTGGAACCACAGCATGGCCCTGCCCCAAGAGACCTGCCTGGATGGAGTACAAGAGTCCTGGGGATTCTAGGGGGGTGGGCTCAGGGTATCCCTGGGGGCTCATTCTTGCCTTGAGAATCTGATGATGCCCTTCCTAGCTATGGACTGACTTGGACACTGCTAAGCCCTCCTTTGCCCTGCAGGATTACATCTTCTACTTGGAGCCTGAGAGACTCGAGTCAGGAAAGGGCAAATGTCCATATGATCCCAAGCTGGACACAGCCTCAGCTCTCATCAGTGAGTGCCTCCACCCTCCCCAGATCTACAATCTGAATATGTGGCCTCAGCCACTGGACTAGGGAGGGGGATCAATACCCCAGGGCAGAGACCATGACCAAGCTATCCCTAAAACCCCCAATGGGGCCCCACTTGGTAGGGAGAAGGGATACAAGTCAAATTCCTATGGAAGCTGAGGGGCAGCAACTAGGTGGTATGAAGGGCTGAATGGAGACACTGAGGGGCCAGGTCCTCCCCTGGAAACACACTGCGTGATCCATGTAAAGCTCAGAACCTTCCAGGTCTTAGGCTGCCTAGAAGAGAAGACTAGCTGAATGTGTACTGAAGGTGATATGAAGCAACCCATAGCTCCTCCACATGTCCGGGAGGCTGGGAGAGGCCCACAAGGAAGCACCAGTGGAGAGTTCTGACCCAGCTGTGGAGAGCTTGTTTTTTGACTTGGCAGGAATCTTCAGGGACAATTGAAGATTCTCTTAGGAGAGGTCCTGTCTGGCTCAGGAGCAGCTATTGCCTCTAGGGATCCCCCACTTTGGGGCTGCTGCCCCTGTCCCCTGGCCCAGGCACTCTGCCTGCTTTCTGGCTGCCCAACCCAAACTGCTTTGCAAAGCAGCTGCTGGGCGCTGTGCCACCTGCAAGCCTGGGAAAGGTCCCTAGGGTAGGGGGTGGACTTCATACTCTTCTTGGCAAATGAGAAGGTCCTAGCCCTATGACAGGCTCCAGACCAGGAAGTCTAATGGGAAAGACAGGGCCTTCCCTGGAGAGTCTCAGAGGGAAAGCATGAATCGGTGTGGTGGAGCCAGCTCAGTGGTTAAATTTTCAGGAATTTTTGAGCCAGTTGTTAAACATAGATATTATTTAAAATTAAGTTATAAAAACTTAGAATCAAGACAGACCTGGGCTGGGGCTGTAGCTCAGTGGCAGAGTGCTTACCCAGCACATGGGAGACAAGGGATTCAATCCTTAGCATCACACAAAAATAAACAAATAAAGGTATTATCCATCTTAAAAAAAAAAAAGACCTGGTGACACACGCCTGTAATCCCAGTGACTCAAGAGGCTGAGGCAGGAGGATTACAAATTTGAGACCAGCTTGGGCAACTTACTGAGACTCTGTCTCAAAATTAAACAAAGAAACAAGCAAACAACAACAACAACAAAATTAATGGGGTGGGGATGTAGCTCAGTGGTAGAGTGCCTGGGATTTAATCCCAAGCACTGAAAAAAAAATTAATAAAAATTAAAAAATTTAGGATCAAAATAAATTACACTAAAACAAAGGTAACAACAACAACAAAAAAGATAATACTCAAAGCTTATTACTCCCTAATTATTTTACTACATTTTATTATTATCTATGCTTATGGGATAGAAATACTATACAATGGTATTGGCAGTGCTTCCCAATCTTGCATATGGGGTGATAACAGCTCAGGATCAGCTGTGGTGGGAGTATTTATATCAGAGATTGGCTGTTGCTACTAATCAGAGTTCATTGCTACTACTCCCAGCCCTCCCAGAGCCAGTTGTTTAATACTTCAGAGTACCCTACAAGAGATGCAGTCATACCCTGGGAAGTCTGAGGGTGGAGATGGGACCCTGCCTGGGGATCACTGGGTTGATGCCCTGGCCATAACAAAGGGCAGCCCCCTGACTGACTCACTGGCTACCCACAGACGAGGAACTCTATGCTGGTGTGTACATCGATTTTATGGGCACTGATGCAGCTATCTTCCGCACACTTGGAAAGCAGACAGCCATGCGCACTGATCAGTATAATTCCCGGTGGCTCAATGGTGAGTATAATCTGCAAGACCTTAAGTGGGCAGGACATCTGGGATGTGGCAAGGAGATCCTTAAGAAACCTACATGGGGGAATTTTTGTCCTGCACCTAGGTGGGGCAGGGTAATTTCTTATCTGGAGAAAAGTCAAGGGTGATCTTGTACATGGCCAGTGATTCTGTTGGGGAAAAGGGGTGTCTTCAGAGGAGAAGCTCATGCAGCTGAACCTGCTCATCCATAGATCCTGCATTCATCCACGCTGAGCTCATCCCTGACAGTGCAGAACGCAATGATGACAAGCTCTACTTCTTCTTCCGAGAGCGGTCCGCAGAGGCACCTCAGAGTCCTGCTGTATATGCCCGCATCGGGCGCATCTGCCTGGTATGTGTCCATAGGGCCCCTTGTTGGCCCTCTACAGGCCCAGCTCTGGTTCTTTCAACCCTGCTCATTCTGGCAGGGTCTTGGGTATGAATGAGCTAGTCTGACCTGACATCCTGCCCCACCCCCAGAATGATGACGGTGGTCACTGCTGTCTGGTCAACAAGTGGAGCACATTCCTGAAGGCACGGCTTGTCTGCTCTGTACCAGGAGAGGATGGCATTGAGACTCACTTTGATGAGCTCCGTGAGTGCCCAGCAGGCAGGCAGGGTCCTATGGCTGCAGAGGGATGGAGGGTGGATGGAAGCCCAGGGTACCTCTGGTGGGCCCCCTTCCCTGGGTAGAAATGGGCAGGGCTCTGAGGCGCCTGCCTAAGACCTCCTCCAGTACCTTCTCTCTCTGTCCCCAGAGGATGTGTTTGTTCAGCAGACCCAGGATGTGAGGAACCCCGTCATTTATGCTGTCTTTACCTCTTCAGGGTGAGGCTAGGGTTGAGGCCAGCAGTGACAGGGTGACGGGATTGGGGGATTATGACCTGTGGAGGACACCAGCCTGGAGGACACAAGCTCTGGGGTTGGGGCAGGCTGGGGAGGGTAAGGACCCTGGGCCGAGGCTCTGCCCCACCCATAGCAACCTGCCCTGCACACAGCTCTGTATTTCGAGGCTCTGCCGTTTGTGTCTACTCCATGGCTGACATTCGCATGGTCTTCAATGGACCCTTTGCCCACAAGGAGGGCCCCAACTACCAATGGATGCCCTTCTCAGGGAAGATGCCCTACCCCCGGCCTGGCACGGTAAGCACCTGCCTCTCATTTTCATCTTCTTATAAGAGGCCTACTCTGGGTCTGCCAAACATGGGCTTTACCATCTTGGAGCTCACCACCGGTTGGGGAGGTGGACCATGATACTCAGAAACCCCTAGTTTATAAAAGCATCAGACTGTGAAGGAGCAGAAACAGACAGCATCCTGTGATGTGGATAGGGGATTGGGTATGGTGGAATCCTCCTTGGAGGAGCTGAAGGTTAGAGAGAAGAATCTCTAAGGCAAAAGTTGGAGGCAGGCTGGAAGTTGCCTTGGCTAGCTAACATTGAGCAAGGAGGTAGGGAGAGAGCAAGGCCAGCCCTGCAGGGTCTCTATGGCAATGGGTGGCATCTTGCTTTATCTTGGTATGACCTGGATCACCTCAGGAGACTCAGCAGGAGATTTAGGCATGATCTGACCTAATGTAGCAGCAGATGCCATTCCATAGGGTTAAGACTGGCATGGGGAAGCTTTTCCCCTAGAGGTGAACTTGGAGTTGGAAGGATGGCAGGATGGCTGGGGTAGTGGGCAGGTTGAGCCCCAGGCAGAGAGGATAGCCTCAGGGAAGGGGAGAGCATGTCTAGTATGTTAGGATGACTTCAGGGTCTGCTGCCCAGCTCAGCAAGAGGGAGAGGGGCAAGATCCCAAGGATAGCCAGAAAGGAAGAGAAGGAGACAGCAGGGGGGTGATGAGGATATGGGAAGGGAGTAGTCAGCTTGGCCAGGTGCTACCACAAGGTCATAGTGTATGATGCTATGGATTTGACAACATGAGACCTTGGAACCTTGGTACAAAAGGAGCTACAGAGAGGTCTGGTGCAAGGCAGAAAGCAGGAAAGTGGAGGTGGTGGGGAGAGACAGTACAGAGGCCTCTCTTGAGCTAATGGGTCCATGTGCCCCACCCGGGCAGCCTGGGATTGACACTCATCACCTACCTGCAGTGTCCTGGCGGAACCTTCACACCATCCATGAAGTCCACCAAAGACTATCCTGATGAAGTGATCAACTTCATGCGTAGTCACCCACTTATGTACCAGGCCATATACCCCTTGCAACGGCGGCCATTGGTGGTCCGCACAGGTGCTCCCTACCGTCTCACTACTGTTGCTGTGGACCAGGTGGATGCAGCTGATGGGCGCTATGAGGTGCTTTTCCTGGGCACAGGTACCCACTACTGCTTCCAGCCCCTCTGTCACTGGGCCCACTGGGTAGGGGGTGCTGGTCCCTGGGGTTGGAACCTGCCCTCCTATGGATTACAATGGGCTCATCAGGTCAGCTCTGTCATACTCATCTTTGGGAATCTCCCTTTTGCCAGGATAGCTGAGGCTAAGGATGGAAAAACTCCATTCCCTGGACACTGGATACCTGGTAGCCATAGTATGACAGAAAAGGCATTGAGAGGGATGGGGATGTGGCTCAAGCCGTAGCACGCTCGTCTGGCATGCGTGCGGCCCGGGTTCAATCCTCAGCACCACATACAAACAACGATGTTGTGTCCGCCAATAACTAAAAAATAAATAATAATAAAATTCTCTCTCTCTCTCTCCCTCTATCACTCTCTCTTTAAAAAAAAAAAAGAAAAGGCATTGAGATAGATGGCAGGCACTTAGGGTAACCCAGATCCAAATACTAACACACACGCTGGCATGTGTACACATACGGAGAAATGCACCCACAGTTCTAGCAACTCCCCACACAAGGGAATGCCCCAGTGTCCTGTTCTCAGCAGGGCCCAATATGGGGTAAGGGAGGCAGACCCTTATGGTGACCTCCTTTATCCTGAACCCAGGGAAACCCTTTAACCTCAGCCAGGAATGCCTGCTCCACTGCCCTAAGGGATTTGGGGTCCTGGTGGGGAAGGGGCTGAAGCTTTGCCCCTTCCCCAGTGTCCCCAGCCCCACTGAGGTCCTGCCCGGCCCGTTCCAGACCGCGGGACAGTGCAGAAGGTCATTGTGTTGCCTAAGGATGACCAGGAGGTGGAGGAGCTCATGCTGGAGGAGGTGGAGGTCTTCAAGGTGGGTTTGGTCCTGTCTTCCCCACTTTGACTCTCCCCAGTCCCCTTCCCTGACTTTAGACCTCAGGGGCAGGGAGGAGGTCCCAAGGTCCCAAGCTGATCCCTGTCTTCTTCCAGGACCCAGCACCCATTAAGACCATGACCATCTCTTCCAAGAGGGTGAGTCTTTGACAATGTGGGCTAGGGGTATCAGGATGGAACCCACATTCCCTTGGGGTGGGTCACACCTTTGGCCCATGGATGGGGAAACTAAGGCATGGAACAAGGAAGAAAAGAAGCCCAGACCAATCATGTGGGTTATCTTTGGAAAAGGAACTGACAAGCCCTTGCCCCTGCTCCTAGCAACAACTATATGTGGCCTCAGCAGTGGGTGTCACACACCTGAGCCTGCACCGCTGCCAGGCATATGGGGCTGCCTGTGCTGACTGCTGCCTTGCCCGGGACCCTTACTGTGCCTGGGATGGCCAATCCTGCTCCCGCTATACAGCATCCTCCAAGAGGTATGGAACCCCAGACACTAAGAATTTTAGTCCCTGTCCTGGTCATTTGGAGGTGAATGTGCATTACCCTGGGAGGGTGTATGGATAAGACATCACTACACTGGGAACATAGGGCCCTGCCTTGGGGTGTTGGGGATACAGGGACCTGAGGGGGCAAGCTTCCTGGGGACACTCCCTTAAGAGCTATCTTCATCCAGGCGGAGCCGCCGGCAGGATGTCCGGCATGGGAACCCCATCAGGCAGTGCCGTGGGTTCAACTCCAATGGTGAGTGAGTGTGTTATGCCTCCCACTGGGTGCTCCTCATGGTGTGAAGCCCCATGCAGCCCATGAAACTGCTTACAGGGTCCCCACCATAAGGACTCAAGTTGGTTAGTGGTGGGTGAGGGTACTGGGGGTTTTTGATTAGGATGTCCCTGGTCATCCCCTCAAGGAGTGGATACCCAGTGGTGCCTTTCTGCCTTTGAGGGTAGGTGCCCTGGGTGCCAGCCCCTCCCCAGTCAACACTCTGCCTAGGGCAAGGTTGCTTCCACTCAGTGCCTACTTGATCCACAGCTAACAAGAATGCTGTGGAGTCTGTGCAGTATGGTGTGGCAGGCAGCACGGCCTTCCTTGAATGCCAGCCTCGCTCACCCCAAGCCACTGTTAAGTGGCTGTTCCAGCGAGATCCTGGTGACCGGCGCCGAGAGGTGAGTTCCTGTGCTCACAGTGCTGCACCATGGATGTGGGAGTCCCTTGTACAGTGGAAATTCCACATGGGTGAAATGTAGTGTAGGAGCCAATCTGGAGATGTCCTCATGCTATGAAACCCCTTCTGAGCTTCTTTCCCTATATGGAAATAATTTGAGTGCAACTAGTTATGTAGAAACTCTGCAGGATAGATGTCATTATAGAGCAACCATTTATAGGCATGCCTCTTCATAAAAATTCCATATGCATACCCCATTGGAGTATGCCTCCATGTATGGAACATCATGTGGGTGAGCTCTAGTATATGGTTCTATGGTAGCCCTCATTTTGTGGAAAAGTCTTACAGGTGTCCCTCTTTACATGAACATTCTATGTGGGTGCCACATTCGGGTATTCTCATTAAATGAAAATTCTGTGTGTGTGCTCCAAAATTCTCTCGTTCATTGTACAGAATCCTCATAGGGTCATCCCTCCTGTAATGGAAATATGTGCCGATACCTTATTCAGATATTTCTCATTTATGTGGAGACTTCATGTAGGTTTTTCTTGGTATATGGAAATTTCATGTGGGTACCCCTACGTGAAATGGCTACAAAGGTGGTCTCATCTGGAAGCTGGCTAGGGCAGCAAAGTGGTCATCCAGCCGCTGAGCCCCGCCCCTGCCCCTGCAGATCCGTGCAGAGGACCGCTTCCTGCGTACAGAGCAGGGCTTGTTGCTTCGCGCCCTGCAGCTCGGTGATCGTGGCCTCTACTCCTGCACGGCCACTGAGAACAACTTCAAGCACATCGTCACGCGGGTGCAGCTGCATGTACTGGGCCGGGATGCCGTCCATGCTGCCCTCTTCCCCCCACTGCCTGTGAGCGCCCCACCACCCCCTGGCACAGGCCCCCCCACACCTCCTTACCAGGAGCTGGCCCAGCTGCTCGCCCAGCCAGAAGTGGGCCTCATCCACCAGTACTGCCAGGGTTACTGGCGTCATGTGCCCCCAAGCCCCAGGGAGGCTCCAGAGGTGCCCAGGCCTCCTGAGCCTCAGGACCAGAAAAAGCCCCGGAATCGCCGGCACCACCCTCCGGACACATGAGGCCAGCTGCCTGAGCCCTGTGTGGGGCCAGCCTAGCCCTCATTCCTTTTAATATAAAAGATATATATATATATATAAAAAAATATCTATATTCTATACACACCCTGCCCCTGCAAAGACAGTATTTATTGGTGGGTTGTACATAGCCTGCCTCAGCAGCAGCTTCATCCAGAACTTAGACCCATGCTGGTCAGAAATGGCAGAAAACTGAGCCCACCTAATCAGGCCCAGTGAGTTGGCAGGGCCAGGCCAGGACCACACAGTCCCCAGACTCATCTGGAAGTCTGCTTGTTTGAAGGCCGCCAAGATCTACAGAACACAGGAAAGGAGCAAGCCCTACTTGAAGGGCCACGGACCATACATCTTTGCCAATGTGTGCTGTCAATTGTGCTGTGGTGTAGGCACGAATGCTAGGACTGCTTTGGAGTCTGGGTGTGGGGGCTCAGGGCACTCAGAAGGGAAGAAGGGGTCATCACAGGATGCTGGCCCTTGCCTGGTTGGGGGCACTTAGTCGAGGCCAGCCCTTCCCAGGTATTTATTCTCTATTTATTGGGGGCAGGAGGAGTCCTACCAGGGTGGGGCAGGATCTTCAGCCCCTTCTCCCCTCCCTGCCTGGACAGCAGTGCTGCCCCATTCTACCTCCTTAGCTTTTCCTATGCTACCTTGACTTGGAGGCTGGGAAAACAGCAATGGGGCCAGGTTCAGGCAGGGCTGAAGGGAGTCCCAAGTCGTGAGGGGAGAGGGGCCATTGTGGAGGCCCGGGGCTTGTAGGGGCTCCCCAGGGCCCCCTTCTGCCCACCACTTAAGGCAGTGGGTGTAAATAGCTCTGGGGGCAGTTGGGTAGGTGGGTGGGGGCTCCTGGCAGCCCTCTGCTGCCCAGATCACAGTCACCCTTGGGTTCCATCTTGTTAATAAACACTGGCTCTGGGACTAGACTTTGGCTTCTCTCCTTGGTGGTGGTTGTGGTGGGAGGGGTTAGGGCCACACCTGGTGGGTAAGGGGAGACAAGAGGGGAGCTGGGAGATAGCAGGTTGGCCCCACTTTTAAAAGCCCAGTTTTTTTGAAACCAGGTCTAGTTTAAGCAGCCTGAGTTCCAGTACTACCCTAGTCCCTAGGCAGTGTGAAGGGTCTCAGGGACTTTTGGGGCCACTTACAGTGTGGAAATAGGGGGTGGAGCTCAAAGGCGGAAACTGGCACAAATGAAATAGTCTTACTTCTAAATAGATCCCATCCAACAGGGTGAATATCATAAGCTTCCAGCTTATGGCAAGAGCCAGTGTCCACTTCCTATGCATCCTGTTTAGAGAAGACCTCAGTGTTCAGTGTCTGGTACCCTGGCACCCCCTTGTGGTCTTTTGAGTCAGTGGCAGGGTTAAATACTAAATGGCAAACAGGTTTCAGGAAAGGAGTCCAGCCAGGAGGCTCCGGGCCCATGTAGATAGCCTTAAGAGCTGATTTGGGTTGTCTGATGGGGTTGGGGGTGGGAAATCTCCAGAGCCTGGGAACTCAGTCTGCAACTCAACCTGAACTACTTCACCAACAATGTGGTGCAGCTGAACAGAGCTTCAGGCCCCCCAACCAGGCAGGTAGGTGCTAGAAACAACCCCAGGTATTATGGAGAGCCCCACTTCTACATGATTTCAGGAGTACCTGAAAAAACAGAAACCTGCTCTGGGGGCTTGATTTCTCCCATCTGACAACTGACTGGAAAAGATGCACTTGAAAAACCTTGCCACCTCTGCAGACTTTGTTGTACCAAAATACATATGTATTTATGTACAGAAAATTATATATGCACACATACAACCACACAAATGCTCAGGTACACAACTGTGCTCACACATGCACACAGGCAGATAAACTCTAACATGCTTTGCACAGGAATATGTATTTGCACATTCAAGCACACAAGTGAACTCACACATGTGCCTGTGAGGGGAAATGCATAGGGGGCTGGAAATGTTGCTCAATAGTAGAGTATGTGTGAGGCCCTTGTGATCCCCAGCAGTGAAAACACACAATAGCACGCATGTGTATATTTGTGTGTACACGTAAAACTGCACACAAAGCTGCATGAATACTCACATGCACTAAAAAGCATAAGCACACATGTACACAGTGGTATACAAGCACAAACCTGTCAAGCCATTACCTTGCTCGGTGCCAATAAAGGACAGAAACTTACATTCTGGCACATGTAGCTGATGTGCATGCCTACCATACCTACCAGGGTCCATCAGAAGCATGTAGAGGCCCTGCTCAGGGTCAGATCTAGCCTTCAGTATGGGTAATTGCAGAGTAAGCCTTTTGCCCCATGATTCCCAGCAAGGCATAGAACCCTGGTCTGGAGCTAACTCTTCTCATCCACTACCTCAGTGTACTCCTGTCAGCCTCTACTTAATCATCAGTAAAATAGAGCTCATGATAAGGACAGCCATCTCCTAGGACCAATATGAGCTTACAAAATAAGGAACAAGCAGTGCTGAGTCCAGTGCTGGGCAAATGGCAGGTGCTCCATGCCTATTTCTCCCACCATTTCCTCTTCCTGTCATCCCCCAGGGCTCCAGGTCCTGTCCTCCCCTTTCTTTATTTAATTTTTTTAAATGTGGTGCTGAGGTTCGAACCCAGGGCTCACACGTACTAAATGAGTGCTTTACCGTTGAGCCACAACCTCAGCCCCCTTTCTTAGTCTTACCATACTAAATATTTCTTACGGTAGTGGGATAGGGGAAGTACTGTTCAAGCCCTATCCTAGAGGGATGGAGGGAGGGAACAGAAGGGATGCAGAGTCAGCGGTTGAGGGATTGGGGACATGCCAGCCTGATTAGAAGGGTTGGGGGACTGAGCTAGCTTCACCTGTCCTTGTCTCTGATTGGGCCTTGGGCATCCTAACTCTCAAATCCCACTAAGCAGCCCCCACCAGGGCCGTCTCCAGAGACCTTAAGGTCTCTGGAGAGTCAGTTGGTTGCCAGTCTTGGGGCCAGAAGAGAGTCTCTGGAGGCCAGAGGCTGGCCTGAACCAAGTTCTTGGGATACCCTCCATTCAGAAGAGCCACCTGCTCACCTTGTCCCTTCACCTGCTGTTGGGGTCATGGGGGCTGGGGCCAGCGCAGAAGAGAAGCACTCCAAGGAGCTGGAAAAGAAGCTGAAAGAGGATGCTGAGAAGGATGCTCGAACTGTGAAACTGCTGCTTCTGGGTAGGGGTGTGGGCCCTGGTGGGGAAGGGCAGCTGCAGTGAGTCAGGGACCTGGAGTCAAGTGGGCAGCCCTTCTATGAGGCAGGGGTTCCTTGGGGGAAAAAAATAAGCCTATGATGAGGCAGAACACAGTGTAGAAGCCCTGGCCAAGCAAGGCAAGGCCTGACAGGTGATGTTGCAGTCCCCTCTAGGCTGGGCATCCCATGGCAATCTCCAAAGAACAATCATCCCACTGCAGAAGTTTGTGCCAAACATACCTTTGTACAAGTGTGTAGAAGGGATACTTTCAGCTTAACAGGCCATCTGGGCAGGACTTAGAAACCAAAGGCCTCACTAGGAGCCCCACATAGGGCCACTCCCTTGGGAAGAAATCATCCTGAGAACAGGGATACTCTAGGACCACCCAGATCCCAGATCCCCAAACAATGACTCTCGGATGCCAGAACTTTACTGTTGGCAGACCTGTAAAGCAGCTAAAGGAGTTGGAAAAGTACTGTGGGGAATAGATAAACCTGAGTTTATGGTCCCATGGGTAGTGAAGGGAGATGGGCTGATCTAAGCCTGTCTCAAAGCCACTGCTTAACCCCCCAAGGGAAAGAGCTGTTTTAAGAGGGTGAGGCAGTCTTCCAAGCCTTCCAGGATCTATCCAATCAGCTGGAGGTGGGCAGAGGGACTGAGTCAGGGCCCCCAGAGGAACGGCAGAAAAGCTAAGCCAAAATCCCATTAACTGTGCCCAGTGCTCCTAAGAGAGCCAGCTCAAAAGGGATGTCATCTCTGTCCTCTCTGCCTCCAAAGGCTCTAATTCCCTCTGAGCCTCTAAAAGACAACCTTCCTTATGGTGAAAGGCAAAGGTTGAAGCAGCTCAAATAATTCTGTGCATGCAGTACCAGAGATTCCCACAAAGTGGAGCTCCAGGATTTCTTTATTTTGGTCTCACAGCAAAATAAAGAATGCTTTATACCAGGGTCCTGGAGATTCCCTGGACAGTTAAGTTTTCTGATTTTGTTCATTGGCTCCCTTTTGTCATTGTGCTGACATTTACAAACGTTTTTCCAACAGTGCTTAAATGCTTACTGCGGGTGGGGTGAGGGCAGATATGACTAGGGATCTAGCTGGAGTGCTGGTCCCTTGGATGCGGGTCCAAAGGGATGGCTAACTCCTCTTCTGGCCTCCCTCAGGGAAATGGAGGGGATCCATGCGGCTCTAAAGTGCAGCTTCCCTTTCAGGTGCGGGTGAGTCCGGAAAAAGCACCATTGTCAAGCAGATGAAGTGAGTGCCCCTGCCCTCCTGAAACCTCTGGGGGTGGGTACAAGCACACTGGGACCTATTTTTCACTACTGCCTCCCAAGACGCTGACTCTGCTCGCCTTGGCCACAGGATTATCCATCAAGACGGGTACTCGCTGGAAGAGTGCCTTGAGTTCATTGCCATCATCTATGGCAACACTCTGCAATCCATCATGGCCATCGTGCGGGCTATGACCACGCTCAACATTCAGTACGGAGACGCAGCGCGCCAGGTGCGCCACGAGAAGGGCTGATGGGGCCCCCTCCCCCAGGAACTGGAGGCGCCCAAATGGGCTCCAATTCGGCGTCCTCAACTACCAATCCCACCCTGCCCCCCAGGACGATGCCCGGAAACTGATGCACATGGCAGACACGATTGAGGAGGGTACGATGCCGAAAGAGATGTCGGACATCATTCAGCGGCTGTGGAAGGACTCGGGTATCCAGGCTTGTTACGAACGCGCCTCGGAGTACCAGCTGAACGATTCTGCGGGCTAGTGAGCGTTCGCAGGCAGGGCGGGAGGGTGCGGGCGGGACTCTTCTGAGCCCCTCTAGGTCACCCACCTACCCACACCGGGTGTTTCCCACAGCTACCTCTCAGACCTGGAGCGCTTGGTGGCTCCGGGCTATGTGCCTACTGAGCAGGACGTGTTGCGTTCTCGTGTCAAGACCACAGGTATCATCGAGACGCAGTTCTCCTTCAAGGATCTCAACTTCCGGTAAGATCCAATGCCTTTGCTCAGGACTGCCCGTAGTTCCCCGGAGTTCACAGCCCCTAGACGCGCTCCCTGACCCTTCTCAGATGCCCTGCCAGAGGAAAGGTCCAGCGCCCCTAGATGCCAGTCCCGTCTGAGAGCTCCCCAGCCAGTTCTAGGGAGGAAAGAAACCCCAGGGAGGCGCTGGAGGCGCAGTTTCAGGTCCCCTCTGCCCCACAGGATGTTTGATGTGGGTGGGCAGCGCTCGGAGCGCAAGAAGTGGATCCACTGCTTTGAGGGAGTGACCTGCATCATCTTCATCGCGGCGCTGAGCGCCTACGACATGGTACTGGTGGAGGATGATGAAGTGGTGAGTGCCAAGCTAGTCCTGAATGTTTGAAGAACAAAGCGGAACTGGGGAAGCATCTGAGAGCAGAGAGAGTTGTTCCAGGGCGGTCTGGAGGAGGCAAGCAGGCAGCTCGCTGCCCTGCTGGAGGGGGAAATTCGGAGGCTCTCGGGCAACTATGGGAGCCGGAAAACCCTGGGCGGGTCTGTTGGGTGCCGCCCATGTGAGGGCGACTGCTGGTGTCTTCTGGTGCCCGACAGCCGATGCTCTCCTCAGAACCGTATGCACGAGAGCCTGCACCTGTTCAACAGCATCTGCAACCACCGCTACTTCGCCACCACATCCATCGTGCTCTTCCTCAACAAGAAAGACGTTTTCACCGAGAAGATAAAAAAGGCACCCCTAAACATCTGCTTCCCGGATTACGACGGTGAGAGTCCCCAGCCCTGCCACCAGGCGGCGACCCACTCCCAGGATCTGGGTCACGCTCCTCCCACCAGGAAGGGCTAAGGCCGGCTGTGGGCTGTGAGCGCTCCCCTCTGCTACAGGGCCTAATACATACGACGATGCGGGCAACTACATCAAGGTGCAGTTCCTGGAGCTCAACATGCGACGAGACGTAAAGGAGATCTATTCCCACATGACGTGTGCCACTGACACACAGAACGTCAAATTTGTCTTTGATGCTGTTACGGATATTATCATCAAGGAGAATCTCAAAGACTGCGGCCTCTTCTGAGGTGGGGTCCTCTCTTCCCTGTTTGTCTTCTGGGTTAGACTCCTCCCTACTCCCTGAAGTCCCGCTCCAATGTCCCCACCGCACAGCTTTCGGGGCCCACTCTGTCCACTTACCCTATAGGCCCCACCTATTTAATATATTGACCCCGCCCCATCTTCACAGGCATCATTTCTTTCAGGGCAGCCCCCAACAAAATGCCTAAATCTATATGAATCTCAGGGATGTTGACCCAGTTGACTCAGTTTCCTTCTCTCGTCACAGATGTCTGAACTGATGAATGTCCCTTGTCCTGTGGCCCTGCAGCCCTAGCTGCCTAATAGCCACATCCCTGTCCCCAACCAGGTCTCTAGGACTCTTGGACCACAGTCTGCTGCCCCACTAACCACACACCCAAAACCCTGAACCCTGAGCCTTGAGTCACAGACCTTCCCCCACTCCCCCAACCCCAGCCCTGCTATTCACCGCCTGGCTGCTCTGGCCTCTTGGACCCACAGCAGCCAGCCACAGCTAGGACATGGCAGTACTTGGGGGCAGTTAGAGCTTACAGTGACTCAGCACTGCCCAACTGACCAATCTCTTGCAGCTGTCCTGCCCTTGGGGACCCACAACTCACCTGGTGGGTCTGGGTTCACCAAACAGTCCTCCCTCCCACAGTTTCATGAAGGTACTCTTGAGATACCCCTCCCCCAAGTAGGCCTGCTGTTACCAGCAGCCCAGTCCAGCCCTGCCACCTCCATGTGGCAAGTCTGACACCTGTCTACTCAGTGACCAGTGACTGTCCCTCAGCAGTTTCAGGAATCCAAAGTCCAAGCTGGTCTGTCCAAGCTGAGAGGCTTCCACATAGATAAATTAGTGACTGGAGGTGGAACTGGGAGTTCCTGGTGCTAGAAAGAGACATAAATTGGACCCTTTCCCAAATACCAGACTCAGAGTACCCCGAGCTCACATCCTTCAGATCTGCATTTTCTGTCCCTGGATACCAGATCCGGACCATACCCGACTTCACCCACCCACATATACACAGTACTCCAGGCTGGTCAGCCAGGGGGATGGTGTGTTGAGGGAGCAAACTGTTGACCACAGCCTTGGCCAATAGTCAAGCTGTCTTAGGGGGTGGCTGGGGGCAGAGTCCAACTCCCATCGATCAGCCCCAGACAGAAAATGCAGGATAGGATGGAGGTGTGGGCTGTGCCCAGAGGAGCCTACCTCATGTGGCATTACAGGAAACCCTACTGTTTGTCCCTACTCCTCTCACCCTCTCCTTCCAAAGCCCATTCCTTGGTAGGGAAAACTGAGAACCATGCCTGAAACCTCAGGGATAAAAATCACATCCCCAACATCCTGCTTCTTCCTTCCTCATAGAGCAGCAAATCTTTGCTTATGCCCATGGGGCAGGGCTGTGCTATAGCTGGGGATAAGGAGCTTTTATCTGGCAAAGCCAGAACATAAACTGCATTTCCCTTAGCTAGATGCACAGCAGACTCAGCAATAAACCTTTGCATCAGGCCCCAGTTGTTCTTTCTTGGGGGAATGCGGGTGTGGAGGAGAGCTTAATTATCATGAGTTGTTGTAATTTATTAAGTACCCAATGATGGGCTGGACATGAAATGGGAAGATGACTCCTTCCAGGAAGAAGAGCCTGGCCTGATGTTGGGGACTCTCTTGGTAGTATGGGACCAATTTGTGCCTCTTGAGGGGTGAAGCTATGGGAAATGTTCACTGGGAGAATCTGGAATCAAAAGTGAGTTTTGATCTGGGCGTGGTGGCACACGTATGCAATCCCAGTGGCTCAGGATGCTGAGGCAGGAAGATTGTGAGTTCAAAGCCAGCCTCAGCAATGGTGAGGCACTAAGCAACTCAGTGAATTGCTAAACAAAATACAAAATAGGGCTGGGGATGTGGCTCAGTGTTCTAGTGCTCCTGAGTTCAACCCCCAGTCTCCCCCATCAACAACTCATGATAATTAAGCTCTCCTCCACACCCGCACTCCCCCAAGAAAGAACAACTGGGGCCTGATGCAAAGGTTTATTGCTGAGTTTTGAGGTAGAGCCTCCTTTGATTGGATAAGGCTGGGGAACATGGGAGCTCAGTGGAGCAAGAGTAGGGAAGTGGGGAGATGGGGTGGAGAGATAGTGAATTGGTGACAAACACTAGGTGTTTGTCTAGAGAAAGCCTGTGCTTTCTCTAGAAGGTGATGGAAAATCATGAAAGTTCTTGAAGCTGGGACATAATTATGGCTGGGATTAGGGTAAGGCTAGTAAGGACCTTATGTCTGTTACAAAATGTAAGGGGATGGCCAAAAAAATCGGTAACCAAGATAAATATTATATTAATGCAATAATTTAAAAACTCAGAATTAATGCAAAAAATTCACAATGAACCAAATATCAAAATGCAACAGGGGCATACCAAAACATAAGAACCCAAAGGATAAGGGGAAAATATCTACTACTGTATGTGTTTTTATGAGGTTTTATCCTTTTTAAAATTTTTTTCAATCAATAGATTTTATTGGGGGGCTGCCTAAAGGGGAAGAAAAGTAGAGGCAGAGAGAAATAGAAAAAGCAGAGAGAGGAGAGAGAGAGAGAGAGAGAGAGAGGAGAGAAAGAAGAGGAAGAGGGCAGAGAGAAGAGAGAAGAGGGCAGAGAAGGAAGAGGAAGAGGGCAGAAGGGTTTTACTCATTTTCTGTGGTGAAATTCCCATATCATAGAATTTACCATCTTTGCCATTTTGAAGTGTACATTTCAATGATATCAAATACATTCATAATGTTGTGCAACCATCACTACCATCTATCTCCAGAACTCTTTCCTTATTGTAAAAGGAAAATTCTATACTTATTAAACAGTAACTCCCAATTCTTCCCTTCTCCCAGCCCCTGACAACTTTTGTCTATGATTTTGACTACTCTAAGTACTTGTAAGTAGAATCATACAGTATTTCTTTTCATGACTGGCTTATTTCACTTAGTATAATGTTCTTAAGGCTCATCCATTGTCATAATTTTCTTAATCATTTCTTCCTCCCCCACCCTCCTCCTCCTCTTCCTCCTCCTCTTCTTTCTTCTTCTTCTTCTCTGATACTTGGGATTGAACCCAGGGGTGCTTTACCACTGAGTTACATGCTACACCCCCAGTCTTTTCTATTTTATTTTTAAATTTTGAGACAGGGTCTCATTAAGTTGCTGAAGCTGGCCTCAAACTTGCAATCCTCCTGCCTTGGTCTCCTGAATCACTGGGATTGCAGTTATATGCTACTGCACGGAGCCAGAATTTCCTTTTAAAGGCTGAATAATATTCCATTGTAAACATTTGCTTATCTATTCTTCAGTCAATGGATCCTTGAGTTGCTTCCATGTTTTAGCTGTTGTGAATAAAGCTGCTATGAACATGGGTGTACAACTATGTCATTGATATTCTGTTTCCAGTTCTCCGGGGTACATACCCAGACGTTGAATGGCTGAATCATATGATAATTCTTTTTAATTTTTTGCAGAATCATCTTCTACAGTGGCTATACCATTTTACATTTGTACTACTAATAGTGCATTCTTGCCAACACTTGTTATTTTCTGTTTTGTTTTATTTTTGTGCTGTTTTAAGAATAGAGCCCAGGGGCTGGGGATGTGGCTCAAGCGGTAGCGCGCTCGCCTAGCATGCGTGCGGCCCGGGTTCGATCCCCAGCAGCACCACATACCAACAATGATGTTGTGTCCGCCGAGAATTAAGAAAAAATAAATAAATGTTAAAATTCTCTCTCTCTCTCACTCTCTCTTT